CTATGATCGGCTCCACAGTTATGAAAAACGAATTAGAGGTCTCTGTCTCCAATTATATTCAGCCATGTATATCCTCCTGAATGTCGAGTCGACAACATAACCATCCCTTGTAAATCGCTTCGCCAACAATTACTCTTTACGCTTATTCTTGAGAACAAGAGTGATTTTTGGCAGTCGCAAGGAACATTATTTTTCACTTTTACAAAAAAGGAATCCATACATTGAAAAGTCCATGCAATCTTTTGCAACAGTCAATATGTACTTACCATTTGCCGGAACAAAACTAGTTGGATCAGCATTTGAGACCACAGCTGTATCCGTAGATAATGCTGAAAAGTACAATCCGAAACTATGAGACTAATCCTCCAAAGCAAAAACTCAGATGAAATCTACGTCTACCTGTCAAACTCGTACTAGGAGCCGGTTCCTCAATGTCAATGTCAGATAACCTAAACCAAAAAATATGTTGTTCCAATATGCAAAGTTTCAAAGTTGATCGACAATAATAAAAATGTATAAACGATGTTTACTAACGCTGCAGAGAGTCCTGAGAGTGCAGAAGGTCTTGGGAGAGATGATGCGATATCCGGGCATGCTGCAATTAGGAAATTCGGGAAAAAGCAAAAAAGTAATTACACCTCAAAATAACATGAAAAGTTTTGAAAAATAGGTGAAATAAAAGGAGATGGTCATAGGTATCCAAGTGAGAATCACGGAAATTTCATACGACTAACTAGAGGTTGATGACGATCCTTCAAGAAATCCTGGAGGAGGAGGTGGCGGTGCAGGAGGAGGAGGTTTGGCAGCACAATCATCAGGAGAAGAACAAGAAACAGGCATCGGTGTGGCTACAGTAGCTCTCTATTTCGCATAAACTCCACGAATTGCCAAAATTACCTTTTCTTAGCAGGTCAGGAGGTGGAGGTGGTGGAGCTGGAGGGGGTACTGAGCAAGAAGTAGAAACTAAAAATAGTTTCTTAACCTCATCTGACTTTAGCAATTATTAAAGATCTCACCTTTAGACTGCCGTGATTTGGCAGGTGATATTGTCGTAACAAAAGATACAGAGAATGATTGGCCTTTCTTTGCTTGATTAGGTTGATTGGATGGGCTTGAAGGTGCAGGGACTGGGGGAATAGGAGAAGATGGAGTTTCTTCAGGTTTAGAGGCGTCATCGCCTTGAGGTTTGTCTGCCGATGTACCTAAATATGTATTTTTTAAAGCCAAAGTTTTTCCAATAACCCTAGCACGAAAAAATTCTTCTACATAAATTTCAAACACTCACCATTCTCAATTTTCAGGGCACCGTTGCTTTGCTCGGGCATACGCTCATTTGGAGGTATTAGTGCAAGGCGGGTAGCTCGAGTTCGCGACACAGACCTATGAACAAAATA